TCCCTGGAATTCACTCGCTCAAGCGAGCAAAGACTCGCTCAAGCGAATATTAGTTATTCTTCTCTGGAAGTCAGTTGCTCAAGCGCAGGAAAAGTCGCTTGAGCGAATGTTAGTTATTCTTCTCTGGAGTTCATTCACTCAAGCGAGCGTTTTGTCGCTTGAGCGAAAACAGGCTACTTTCGCTTGAGCGAAAGTTCTCGCTCGAGCGAAAGACGTGAAACCCAAAAACTCAAAATTTTCCAATAAAAAGAGAAGATGTGTTTTGAGAAAGAGGCAGTCTTGGAGAAAAGGAGACACGACTACTGTTAGGGTTTCGTCTAATCTTCATCAATTCTTTACTTCTTCATCAATTAGAGCATTGTAATGGCCAACATGAGTGGCTAACTTCATTCTCTTAGGATTCAGTGCACTTCCTTTGAACTCTTTTGTATCATGGTAATATTTTGAGATATTAATCTATGTTTTGATGTTGTTATTCTTATCCTTTGTACTTTGGAATGATTTATTTTTTATGTTTGGGGTATGATTGGAAAATATATCTTGAACCCTAGATCACGGTAAGAATATTTGTTACGTTAATTGCTAGGAATGGAATGAATGTATCAATTGTTTAACACCCTAAACCTAATGCTAGAAAATCTCTTAATTGTGTGAGGAATCAACATTTATTAGGTTTTCTTATGAATTTCATGTGTGAGGAATCAACATGGATGATTTGAGTAGGTGGCATCAACATTATTAGGTTAATTGACGTTCTTAATTGACATAGCCACAACAAAAGAGGGATGAGGAAGGAAACCAATCCTAAGTGCCTTTAATTGATATTTTCTCAATAATTTACAGTTCTTTGTCATTTAATTTCAATTCAACTCTTATTTGCAAAAACCAATCTGTTTAATATACTTAGTAAGCATAATTGGGAATTTTCATTGAAATTGTTCATCGTGGGATCGACTTTTATTTAATCGAAATACTATACTGTGATTGATAATTTTGGTACGCTTGCCAATAATTCAACAGAAACCTCATGCAACAGAGAGATATGAATGATTATACCTATGTATAGATGCAGATTCACTAATCACTCTACCCTTTTAACCAAGTAACCTTTGACTTCATTAGAATAGCCTTTGACTTCATCAAATCAACAAGATCTTCGTTTTATCAAATGATTCAATAAGATCTTCATCACTTTCAAAAATACCTTTGATAAAGCATTCCAAATATCGAGGGCAATGGGTAAGCAAATATATATTTTCATGATTTCTGGCTTCATGGACATCAATAGCCATCTTTTCACTTTTTGGTTTTCAGCATACCATTTTTTATATCCCTCATCTTTCTCTATTGGAGGCTTCACCTTCCCACGGATGTAGGACAATTTTTCCCTCTTTGCAATGTGCATCTCCATTAGTTGTAACCATGCATCATAGTTGGATTCATTTAGGATTATGCCTTCAAATTGAACTACCACTAGAATTGGTTTTTCTGTCATCTCTCCAGTTAAGATCTCCAAGGATTTAGAAAGAAAAAAAAATTCTAAGTTATGCCAGTAATAATTGATGGTCTATTCCTCTTATGTTTAAAAGAGTGTTAAACATTTGAAAATTTGGCTCTAGGAATTCTATAAAATTTTTACAGATTTCCATTTTATTTTAGAAATTATTAATCCATAATATTCTAATTTGTACAATATTTGTTTAAGGTGAAGAAAATGTTCTTCTTTTGTTTTGGAAAAGACTAGTATGTCATCTATATAGACGCAAGTAAAATATTTTAAATATTTAAAAATGTTATCCATTTTTCTTTGAAAAATGACCGGAGCATTTTTAAGACCGAAAAATATTACATGTCATTTATATAGTCCTTGTGAACAGGAAAAAGTTGTTCACTTTATTGAGTTGGGGTCCATTTTTACTTGGTGGAAACCACTCTTTAAATTAAAATTTGAAAATCATTTGGTATCTTTGACGTGATTTATCAAAATATCTTTGAATGGAATAATATATGTATTTTCTTTTCAATGACAATTTTTATCACAATCATAATTGAAATATATGACTAATTTTAAAATAGAAAACTAAAGAGGTCAAAACTCATTTTAACCGTTAATAAATCCCCCTCCTATATTATTTATTATATTATGTTTTTTTTATTTGTTATTTTTTGTTACATTTATTAATTAATTAATCAACTAAAATTAATTTATATTTAGTTAGGTACCAAATACTTGTTCCATCAAAATTAATTTCATATATCACTTAGTTTTTTTTCTAACTGAAAAAAACATTTATTGTTAATCTTTCAAATAAAAATAAAAATAATGAATACTGGGTATTTATTCCATTAAAGTCTTTAATTTCAATAACAAATTGTGATCTTAAAACAAGAAAAACAAAAAATAAAAGAAAACTTATAAAGCAAATTAGACATCGCATACATTTTCACGTTACAGTGAATATTCGTTACTTGTTCAAATAAAATGAATGAAAAAGATGAGAATAATATATCCTATAATTAACACATTTTAGAAAAATTACTAAAATAAAATATATATTAATAAATTTTTTTATTATATATATAAATTTTTTATTTTTTTATTCATTTTTTATTTTTTTATCTTGTTTCTCTTTTAATTTCTATTATTTTTCTATTATATTGAAATTTGATAAAAACATGTTAAAGATAAGATTTTTAAAATTAACATTTAAATCGAACAAAATCAACTAATTATTTAAATTTATTATGACAATAAATACTTTTTTTATTATGATAATAAATAAATAATTTAAAATTATTTTATCATAATAAAATAATTATTTTTTTAATTAAAAATATCAAATATGAGTTAAATATATTTTTATTTAGTAATTTAATATAATTATAATTAAGTTAAATTATGATTACTAGTCAAATTAAATAATTTGAAAAATATTTATTAAAAAACTACTTTAAGATAAATATTTTTTATTAATAATTATAATATTTATATTTAATTAAAAAGTAAGTAATTTTTTTATAAATAGTCATATAATATTATCAAAATATAATATTTCTGAATAATTTAAATATTTTTATATTTTTGAAATAGTAAAAAATACATCTTATCAAATTTCAATCTAATTTTTTTAATTAAAAGAATAAAATAGAGAACAACAAAAAAGGAAAAGAAAAAAAGAAGAAAAAAACATTAAAAAAATAACAATAATTAAATGAAGATGAAGAGAAATAAAAAGTTAATGCGAAAAAGATAAAATAAAATTATATTATATCATACAATTTTATTTTTTATCGTTGAATTTTATATAAGAGCAGTATAATTAGACAAATAAACTTACCAAACCAATATTTTATTTAAGTAATTTTTTTAAATATATTATTTATAATATTGATTAGAAAAGAGAAGGACCAAGATAATAAAATTTAAATTAATATCTTTTTCTAAAATCTTATACAGTGGATTATGACTTTATATTTTGAAATTTAATTATTTATTTGACTATAAACATTTATTGCTTATCAGTCTAATTCATAAGCACAACTTTAAGTAATTAATTTTGAGAATGATAAAATGTAAAAAATTAATAATCATGCGAAAAAAAAACAAATATGATAAAAAAATATGAATGTGTATTTTTAGTTGTATTTATGTAATTGTCTTATAAAAAATTATTGGTATAACAATCATTGTCTGAAGTATTTATTCTCGCATATTCTCATTAAATTTTTTTAGCAATTTTCCTCATAGAAAAAAAATTATTAATATTATTGTGTTATTTATCATTCATTTCAATTAATGTTAATATATAATTTATATTTTCATTTTTATTATTTAATAATATAATAAGTTAAAATATAAAGAAAACTTAATAAAAAGATATGTAGCATAATTTATGGTAATAAAAGAGAGTAATTGGATATGTGATTTGATAATACCATATATCTAATTGTCCTTTTCTAGGCTATATACTACTAATTATGTCATGTCTAATTAGTTTCTTTATTGATTTATTAAATTAGTTAATAAAATTTACGTAACTCACATCTTATTTATTTATCTAATAAATTTACCTTTTAGTTAATGTAATTATTCAATAAATTAATTTTAAAATAAAGTCTGTGAAGTTAAATAACCCTGTTAGAAAGTGAAAAGTGGAAGAATAGTTGTGTGGATTTGATAAGGAAGAGTGTCGGTCACTGTCAAGTGAGAACTTCCGTATCTCCTTTCAAACGATTCCAAACATTTTGCGTTGTATTATTTGGCGGGTATGCACAGAACCAAATTACAAAAAACTGATTAACCGAAGAAGAAAAACGATTTTTCTTAAAACGATTCGTGAATACTCAACGAGGTTCTATTTTTTTAATAATTTTTATAATTTTACTAATGATATAATAAATTTAAAAAATATAATAATATGTCATATCATTAGAAATTTAAATAAATATTAAAGACATATAATATAATAAATAAAAAGTGAAAAATAAAAAAAATTATTAGAGTTAAAAAAATACACAGATCAAATAAGATAATTTTCCTTAACATATTATATTTTTTAAGAAATGAAAAATATTTTTAAAAATTAACAATTTTATTAATTTAATGATTTTACTCTAATTTTTTGTTATAGATTCAATTATATAAATCTTCAAACCAGATTCCATGTGGATTTCTCAGTAGATAGGGTCTATAAACCGATTTTGATAATGATGATAAAAACAGAGAAAGAAAATCGAGGTGAAAAACCATGAAACCACACTACACTAGAGACCGTACAGTCCTAGTCAGAGAGAAGAAAGAAAACAAAACACATTCTCTCACATACACAGACCCACGCTCCAAGACACGCTCTGTACAGTGAAGCTGTGAAAATCCCCTCTTTGTCTCTCCGCTTCGCAACCACCAAACAACACAACCTCTACGATCTTCCAGAACCTTCTACACCACTCTAGTAGTAACCAGATTCTTCACTTCAGACACTCATAGGCAACCAGTTTCCATGGACTTGTACGGTCGGGCCCCTGCCAGGAATGGATCCAACCCGGTGAACCAACCCGAATGGCGCTCACCGGGCATAGACTCTGCTCTCGAAGGTCTTTATCACTTTTTCTTCTCGCTTGTGAGGGTTTCCTTAATGTGGAAGCTGGGTTGTGTTAGTTAGGGGGTTTCTCTGTGCCTTCTAATTAGGGTTTTTGTGTTTGTTTAGAATCCATGTGGCATTTAACGCTGGGTGGCGGCGAATCTTACCCTGAGCGGCCCGGCGTGCCCAATTGTGTGTATTATATGCGAACCGGTGTTTGTGGATATGGTAGCAGGTGTCGTTACAATCACCCTCGTGATCGTGCTGCGGTAACCCTTTCCATCACTTTGAGATTCTGCATTAGGTTAGAGTTTCATGCAAGTGTCTTGTTGCTGTTGGTTTTTGTAGTAGCCATTGTTTTCATGCCTTTTTTTACCATGTGTTGGTTTTATTACTTATTTTTGAAAGTAAATGTTGTGTATGGATATTCATTTATTGTGTCGTTAGTTCTTTTCCTTTTTAGCGAGGAAGGGAGATTGAATTTTAACCTTCTCAATGTGAAGTGTCAATTGAAGGTGGTAATCCAGTTTAAAGGATAAACTGGTTTTGTGTTGCATAAACCTATTTTAGTTAGGAAAAAAAGGATTAGAAGAAGTTTATATCGATAGCTAGTTTTTTATTTCATCTTATTGCTAAAGTGTATGAATATGAATTGACTCAGTTGAGTCAAATGCTGCTTAGGTTGCTGCCGCGGTGAGAGCTACAGGGGAGTACCCAGAACGGGTGGGGGAACCTCCATGTCAGGTCTACTTTTTTGTTTTATTTCCATAAATGTTTTGTTTTCTACGTAAACTATGCAAATTTTTAAGTTGTACCTTTCCAATTTAAAATGGTTATACTAATTCTTGGTCATTCTGATGAACAGTATTATTTAAAGACTGGAACCTGTAAATTTGGTGCATCCTGTAAATTCCACCATCCAAAAAATGGAGGTGGATATTTAAGTCAAGCTTCACTAAATACTTATGGATACCCACTACGGCCGGTATGACTCTTCTTTTTGTGCTTCTTCTCTCACATGTAATCCACAGCAATCAATGCAATTGTTAAACTGTCGATTGTTTAAACAGGGTGAGAAAGAGTGCTCCTACTATTTGAAAACGGGGCAGTGCAAATTTGGTATAACTTGTAAATTCCATCATCCTCAACCTGCTGGCACACCATTGCCAGCATCTGCACCTCAATTTTATCAACAGGTGCAGTCTCCGACTGTTCCTCTGCCTGAACAGTATGGCGGAGCTTCCACAAACTTGAGAGTGGCCAGGCCTCCTGTAATGTCCGGTTCATATGTACAAGGGGCTTATGGTCCTGTACTTCTTTCTCCAGGGGTTGTCCAATTTCCTGGATGGAGTCATTATTCGGTGAGAGAATCATGTGTCTATGTGTGATAAAAAGTCATTTTTTCTTCATAGCTGTTGGCTTTTTCTGACAATTTTAAATTGGTGCAGGCACCTGTAAGTCCTGTGCTATCTCCTGGTGCTCAACCTGGTGTCGGGGCCACTTCTTTATATGGAGTGACCCAATTGTCATCAACAACATCAGCTTTTGCTAGACCATATACTCCTCTGTCCTCTACTACAGGCCCTTCAGGAAATATCCCGAAGGATCAATTATTTCCTGAAAGACCTGGTGAATCTGAATGTCAATACTATCTGAGAACAGGGGACTGTAAATTTGGATTAGCTTGTCGATACCATCATCCTAGGGACCATATTGTGGCACAGCCACTTCTTAGCCCAATTGGACTTCCTTTACGTCCGGTATGTATGGTTACTCACTATTTGACTATTTTTCTTATTGTCTGTTTAACTTTATTAGATTTATTTATATTTAATCTGTATGGTACTTTACAGAATTACAGTTTTAATATGATATTATCCTTATAATGTACATGTCTTCAAATGTATGAACACATCTATTCTGCTCAGAGCACACTACTTTTATTTCCTACTTATTAGAAATCAAAATTTGTAGGTAGTCTAGACAAGCTGCTCTTTTTGTACCTTGGGCCCTGATAGTATTAAAGTATCCTTGCCTAGCAATTAACTCATAGCGTGGCTTCAGTTGCACTAGGATGAACATGGACAGCAATGGATCAGGAGTAAGAGACAATATTCAACTTCTGCTTTGCACAATTGTAGAGTTGGCCCTTGACAGTACATAATAACAAATATGTATATATAAGGCCCTATACTCAAGCCTTTTTGGCTTGAGATGTGGAATTCCGCTTCTGATTTTCAAGAATGGGGATAGCTAAGACTGGACCCTTGATCACATGGTTATTGAAGCCCTCATTTCTCGAAAAATAACCTTTGGAAAAAGCTTAACCTGTTGAATAAAAACATGTGATTGTATTTTTTTCTCTATATATCTGTACCAGTCCCAATGTAAAACCTGCTATTCACTCTATTTTCTTTTCAAATTCTTATGGTTTGTATTCCATTTGTCTGAAATGTAAAAATTCTGTTCTTTCCAGCTTCCACTGAAAAGGCCAATGTAGTTATGCCCATGATGCCAAAATTTGTGGTATGGTAGTTGCCGATCTATCTTGAGTTGAGTTTTGCATGTTTAATGTCGTGCCATGTTTGGGGAGTTATGAGATGGAACATAGTATCTGAACCGGGGACTACAGCAGAGAGGATTTGGATTATAGTTAAATTGGAAGTAAATTTTGGTTGTCATCAACTATGTTTCTTCCTTATTTAGGAAACTTGCTATTTACTCATCTATTTGATATCACAACAACACAACTTACTCGTTCTGATTTCAGGCAGCCCTGCATAGACTTCAAATACAACAACCTATGCAGTTGAACTTGTGCACACTTGCGACCTGAATGAATGTGCGAATAGAATTTTATTCACAATGTAGATACCAACATGCAACATTAATGTTTCTATCGTAATCCATTCAAATAATGTATTTCCTCTCATTTACACTAGTGTTTAGAGTTCAGTGGGTGATTAAGGGGATTGTTATTTGTTTGAAGCATTAATTTTATGTGGAAGATTTAATTGTTCTTATGCACATTATCATGTTTTATTCCAGCTTTACTCCAGCTTTACAATTTATGCGATTTATATTTTTGTTTTTGGGATTCTTCTTAATTAATTTGTTTTCTAGAAAACAGGGGGTACAACCTTGTGCTTTTTATTTGCAAAATGGGCATTGCAAGTTTGGCTCCACGTGCAAATTTGACCATCCTTTGGGATCTTTGAGCTTCAGTCCGTCGGTATCTTCTTTCATTGATGTGCCAGTTACTCCATACCCAGTTGGGTCTTTGCTGTCTCAGCTGGCTCCTTCAACAACATCTTCAGAGCTTCGGCCTGAACTGATGTCAGGGTCCAAAAAGGAATCCCTTTCAGCCAGAATACCTTCTTCTGGTAGTTCTGTCGGTCTAATTTTCTCACAAGGTGGGTCTGTCTCGCTTTCTGATGTGCCACTCTCAAGTCAGAGTTCTGCCCCTCTAAGCAGTAGCAGAAGCACCAGACAAAGCAGTGAGATGCGTTGATCTGGCTAGTGCAAAACTTGAATACGACTCCTCATTATCTATTGGAAGTGATTTCACAAGCCTCCATTGCTTCTGTCTATAGTCCTCAATCTTTTGATGGCAATTGTTCAAAGTTTCACTGTCGGTGTTGAGAATTCATCATCCAATCCTGTTTAGATCCTATACTAGGTCATTCTCTTCTGATGATATTAGTCTTCAAATAAGCATGAATAGGAAACTAAATATTGTCTATCCTCTTCCATCTCTTATTAATATTAATATTCTTCCTTAATTTATGGCATTTGTGTGATGATTGTTACATTTCTGGATGCATGTGAGACACATCCTAGTTCCTGCTCTGTACAAAGATGCAGATTGAAGAGATGGCTCAAGTTCCATTTAAGCTACTGTTTTTTGGTTTTTAGTTACTTAGTACTTGCAACTTACATACAATGCCACTCTCTCTCATCCCCAGATATATATTTTTATATATTCTCTTCGTAATGTGCATATTGTAGGGAAACCTTGGTTGTTATTTTCTCTGGCAGCGGAATTACTATATTAAAACATTGTCTAGCCGGTAGTAATGCACGTATTTTGCAACACATTTGATGAGCATTGAGTTATTTTTAGTGTAATTCTTTAGCACATAATTCATTGCAATCTTTCAATAGTTAGATCAAAGGGATATTACAGTTGTATCAAGATCTTTAAAGCATTCTAAGTGCGTATTTTCTTTATCATGTTGAGAAGTCCTTGTGTGGGTAAATATTGGAAATCAAGGTGATAGGCATTGAGGAACATTTATCCAAACACGATTTGGATGTTGGCTTTACTACAAAGATATCACATATGCTTTAATATGCTCTTTTTGGTAGATGTTGAGAAGAGTTGATGATGATATGATTTGATGATTTCAACTATATGCATATTGAATGATACATGAAGTTAGTAAAAATAAATTGTGATTGGTTTTTTTAAGCGTCATCTGGGCTTAATTGGTTGTAAGTGACATGTTTGAATCATATCTTAGAGGGATTCTTTGTTTATAAGTGTTAAATTTCAATTTAGAATCTTTGCAAAAATTTTAATGGGTTGAAATACAGTTTCAATATGTTAAAATGTTCATAAATATGCGAGGTTATGCATGATGATCATTTTAATAGATTAAAAACTAGTTAATATTAGTTTCATTTAACTCAACTCCTACAATATTTTAATAGATTACAATATTTGTATTATATTAAAATATTGTTAAATATGTTGAGATTAGAGGAAATAACATTTAATATGCTATTTAATGTGATAATTTCACTTAAGTACACTTCAACTTAAAATATGTTTTGCTTTAATAGATTAAGTGTTTAATGGGTTTAATCAATGTTGTTAAAATCATCTTTAAACAAGTAACAACGTGGATTTAGGGTTTAAAAGTTTAATTGAGTCTAATTGAATTTAACAAAATAATATTTTTATAACATAATAAATATATAATAAGTTTATTAGTAATAATATTTTTTTCAAAAATAATAAAGATTATTATCATGATTATTGTAATTTATAATAAAAATTATATAAATATAAAATATATTAAAGAGAATAAGAAGAATAATTATTAAAATAAAATAAAAATATAATAAAATAGTTCTTATTTAGAGTTGACATAACTAATATGAAATAAAAAAATTAAAATATATCATTTTTTATAAAAAATATATATTAAAAAAAATTGATTTTAATTTTTTTTTACCAAAATTAATTCGACTTAAAATTTCAAATGATTTTTTCGAAAACAATAGCTACGGTATAGTTTTAACATATTAAAATATGGTTTTAACCCATTAAAACTATCAGCATACTATATGAGTCCCCTCCCACACCTTTCAAATACATATGTTCAAAATTTGACAATGTTTGCTTCCATTTTGAATATATTGTGATACACTTCTATACTTAAAGAAATACTGAATTTTCCCCAATATTAAATCAGATCAATTCTTGTGCTTAAATCAAATATTGCACGTGACTTGTTTCTATTTTCATGACGTAAATGATGAAGCCTCGTCTCCTTTAAGGGTAAGAAAATTGAAAATTCTCAAACTTTCTAAATAAAAAAAAAAATTAAATTATTCATTTTCGGAGGAAAGTTTCTTGACAAAGAAATAAGAGAAAATTACTCAAACATATAACCTTAGAGAATAAGAAAATAAATATTTAAACAAATCAATCCTCGTTCAATTAAAAGGTGAGTCTTACAAGAGATAACATGTTTTATTTATAACTATTTAGCCCATTTGCATCAAATGATATAAAAAAGTGTGACTAAGAAGTATAAGGTAAACGTCCCATACATGCAAGTCAACGCTCAAAATAGGCCTAAATTTGGTTTTTCATAATTAGTCATCTAAACAAAATCTAATTGGAGGTCCAATAGAGACCAAAATTTAGTTAATATGTACATCTATAAAAGTTTACAGAATTACAAGACAAATATACCTCGAAGAAAGAAAGAAAAATTCTAGTATCTTATATTTCAAATTTAGGAGAGTCTTCTTTTTTTACGCTTTTTCTTCATCTTCTTCCCAGTTATGGACTTTGTCAAGATCCAGTGTGTTGTCTCACAAATGGTCCTTCGTCAATAAATATTTGTTAGACAAATAACATCTAGAGGGGGTAAATAGATGCACAAATTAAAATAGATGTCAAATTAAAAATTTATTTGTGAGTCAATAATTTGTTAAAGCGGAAGCAATAATATAATCACAAACAGAGAAATAGATAAGAAAAAGAGAAGAGCACACAGAGATTTATACTGGTTCAGGTATAGCCAATCCTACATCCAGTTCCAAGTCAACTCTTAACACAAGAGTGACTCCTCATTCACTATCTTTCAAATTCAGTTTACAAATTACAATCAACTCAGCAGAAAAACCAGTAAAAAGTAAACTAATTAAAAAAACAATCACCTCCTTAGAAACCCACTAAGGATGAACACCTCCCTAGAATCCCACTACGGATGAACACCTCATCTGAACAAATCAAAGGATGAAAAACACCTCCTTAGAATCCCACTAAGGATGAACCCCTCCCTAGAATCACACTAGAGATGAAAACCTCCTTTGAACAAATCAAAAGATGAAAACACCTCCTTAGAATCTCACTAAGGATGAACACCTCCCTAGAATCACACAAATCAAAGGATGAAAAACACCTCCTTAGAATCCCACTAAGGATGAACCCCTCCCTAAAATCACACTAGGGATGAAAAACACCTCCTTTTCTACCAATGCAAAAAGGATGAAGGTAATAAAAATAAGAATAGACACACCTGGGTAATGGAGACAACAAATTGTAGAAGCCTGTAGAATGTCAATCTCCAAGAACAAGTGTGATTAACAATGAAAGCACAGAAGGCAGTAGAGAAAAGAGTTTTCTCAAAAGGTGTAAAACATCTCTGTTGTCTTGCTCAGAATTCTTTTCTCAAAACTGATTGAATGTAAATTATATTTTCGAATTCTTTAATTGTGTATTTTTGATTTTTCATCAAAACTTAATTAAATAGAAAAATAGCATCAGAAAATGGTCGTTGGACATTAATAATATCATAGAGAAAATCAGGATGTATTAAAAAACATTTATTCTTTAAAACGGATATATTTTTCAAATTTGAATTGTCATAATTGATTATATTACCAGTATAATTAATTATGATAGAGAAAATCATTTTTCCATTTCTGGTGCATCATAATTAATTATGACAGTGAAAAATATCATATTATGAATTTTATCACACTTGTGCTTTGGAGGCTTATGCATAATATTACTTCATCAACTTTACCTCCATATCCAGTATTCTAAGACTCTATCTAGTCTTCAGGAATCATCTTGAGCTTGCTTGAATCATCATCTTTATCAAAAACATATATTGGGCATGTAGGGAAATGTTTCACATTGTCACCTACGTCATAAATTCAGCTTGTCCTTAAATTCATCTTGAATGGTGTTGACTTGAATGTAGTTGACTTGAATCATCATCAAAATCATCTCTTGGGAATGCATGAACATTTCCATCAATCTCCCCCTCATTGCTTTTAATCTCCCCCTTTTTGATGATGATCAAGGAAAGACCTGAAATGAATTAAAATGCCTGACTCTGTATAGCCAACTCAAGATTAGCACAAATTTGTATCAAGTGTTAGAGTCTCTTAATCTCCGCCTGGATATATTAATAACAAGACTCCCCCTAACTCATATGAGCAAATACTTCTCTTAACTCCTCTTGTTTAATTTAGATAGGAAAGAATTTCACACAGATTTTAATTCATCAAAAAAATCTCCCCCTGTTTCATTGATAATCATAAAAAATATTATAAGAAAAAATCTTCCCCTGTTTCACACAGATTAATATCATTAAAATATTTCCCTGTTTCATTGATAATTAAAAAAAATATTATAAGAAAAAAAATCTCCCCCTGTTTCACACAGATTAATATCATCAAAATATCTTTCTGTTTCATTGATAATTATGAAAAATATTGCAATAGAAATTGAGAACAAATTTGTACCTATTAGTATATAAATCAAGGTAGAGAAGATAATACATTAATAAGTGTCATAGAGAAGAATATCATATTAAGGAGACAATATCTAGGATATCTAAGACAAATGAAGAGAGAGAAAGATAAGAGAATAAAATTATTATAGAGATAATAGAATGAAATGCGAGTAGTTTCCCCAATTGCAGCTTTTCTTATTTAGACAACTTTCACTTACAAATGCACTCATATTCCAGATTTCAAAATTCAAATTCAAATTGCAACAAATTTCAAATTTAAATCCCAACAAATTCCAAATTTCAAATTCAAATTTCTAATCCCAAATTTCAAATTCCAATTCAAATTCAATTTCAAAAATCTCAAACTGCAAAAATTTCAAATTTCAAAATCTCAAACTACAAAATTTCAAATTTCAAAAATCTCAAATTGCAAAATTTTTCATACTGCAAATTTTAAAAAATAATCTCAAATTGCAAAATTTCAAATTTCAAGAATCTCAAACTGCAAAAAATCTCAAACTGCAAAATTTCAAATTTCAAATATTTCAAATTGCAAAATTTCAAATTGCAAAATTTCAAATTTCAAGAATCTCAAATTGCAAAATTTCAAACTTTAATAATT